GGTGTTTTCGATGAGGGTGGCCATTGGAGGGTGCTGTAGTGGTGGGGAGCTGTTGACAATTTTTGTCGATTTTTTTGCAAGAGAGACAGAGACACACACACAGAGAGACAGAGACAGAGTCAAGGGATTTACTGATGTAAAGGGAGGCAAATGTTAGGATTAGGGATAGGGCATGAGATTTGGGTTTGAGTTTGAGTTGTGTTAAAAAGATGGGCAAAATGGCCTTTTTGTTAAGATAGTTAACTCCATCTAATCATTGGGGTCTCAATGTAATTGTTGAAATGTGAGGGGTGTCCGTGTAATAAAGTCAAATGTCAGGGGTGTGAGTGTAATTTATCCAAGTAATTTTTATATGATATGGATTGCAAAATTTAGTTTGTGCTATAAAATCTAAAAATTTATTCTTAGTTCACATAGTAAAATTAATGTATGATAATGTCATGGTCAATTTATTCTCTCATTCAATACATGATACAATCTCAACAAATAAATTGTCATAAAAATTACTTTCACGTTATACTATCATAAATAATAATTATGACAATATATTACTATAATATATGTCACACATCTCACCCAAGCAACTTTCCTTTCTTTTCTTTTTTGTCTCTCATAACACTCATAGAAATACATATATCTTAGTCTATAAGAGAAACACTATTTTATGTGATCAATCTCCCCATTTTGTTATTAAATGTCAAGCTATTAGGATTTTTGAATTTATTATTTCAATTACCCTACATTAGGTATGTATATGGTAGAACCAGGATTTAATGGTGAGGGAGCTAAATGTTGCACAAATAGGAATTTTATTTCCTGACATTAATGACTTGTATAGAACTCATTAAAATCAATTTTGTAAAAATTAGTTTGAATCATTAAATCCCAAAATTTAATCTTACTTCTTATAGCAAAAATTTGTTTCTATCAATATGGCAATCTATCGTGTAAGGCCGAGTTCATGTCGTGTTTAGTCAAATTTTTAATCAGATCTGCGTTGACGCATTTATTTGATGAATCTGACAAGTACACCTATTTATCATCCCCAAAATGTTAAATTTGAACCAAACCTAATAGGTCTAAATCCAAACTCACTAATTCTATACTAATTTTATGTTGAATTCCTGAATAGTGTAGCTAATACTAAGCCTAGTCTCAGCCAAAACATCCAGACAACTTCTCATACAGTCTTGTTGGATTAGATCCCAGCAGTTCCTTACCCATGCTTTGTGAAGCTAATTAAAAGACCTTTCATTCTTCAAATTCAGGGCATATTTGGTTCAGGTACTATATGGAATGGAATTGATTATTAATTTTAATTCAATTTATAGTGATGGTAATATTTGATCAATCATTCTTAAATCATATATTCATCGAAGATAATAATTATATTTAATACATTGTCCCTATTTATTAAAACAAATTGCATCGTTGATCTTCACTGTCTTTTTGTAATTTCATGGAAGATAATACAATTAGATGCAAATGGTAAATGTTCTGGCCTGAAAGCATTTTTAGCACTTCCAAAGATTTCAATTCCTTAGCAAGATGAAAAATAATCTCAACTAGTCTTTATAATAAAATGAAGAATAAATTTCTAAGAAATTGTAGACAATTTTTTTTTATATTAGAAAGATTTCCATGTTCCACTTTAATGAGACCAATGTAAGTACCCATATTCTGTTAAGGTTAAATAATACCGATTTTATGTTTCATCTGATGATTTTTTTTTTTTGGGAAAGTAAAATATATTCATCTTTGCAAAATTACATGTACATGTAAATAACCTATCTGTTTATCAAACAGACCAAAAAACAAAAGAGGGGCCAAGCACTTGAACTGCTATAAGTTCTGCCCTGTGACAGAACTTATGGCAGTTCAGAGCATTCATGATGGAAGATTATAGGACCAAGCATTAGACATAGAGTTGTTCCAATGCAGGGGAAAAGCAATATTCTGGGTGGATTGTTTGAAGTTGGCAGTGAGAAGTTTACTGCTAATAACATGAAGGATGGACTTTAAAACGGTAGCTGCATCCCCGAATTCATTCTTGAAGACTCTGGCATTTCTTTCTCTCCAAATCGTATAGACAGAACTAGAAAGGCTGAGTTTGAACACAATGGATTTGATGGATTTCCTTTTCCACTGGTTGGAGGCTAAATGGATAGCTGGTAACCAACATGGGTGGAACTAAGAGGCCATAGAATGACTAAGCACCTTGTTCCATATTTCACTTGTGAAAGGGCATTCAAAAAACAGATGGTTGATGGTTTCCTCTATTAGTCTACAAAACACACATGTCGTATTAATGTTTCATCTGATGATTTAGTCTTGAACATTTCTACATTTCTAAATGCTTGAACTTCATAAATTTTTTAACTACACTTTGCCCCAGATGGAATCTTGGCTCCACCACTGTTCCCAGTTGTGTGTATATGGATTATTTAATTTACTTATAGATTTATTTTTTATTGCCTAAGGATCTAATAAAGGTAATTCTAAAAATATAATGCAAGATAGAAGCTTGATTTGCAGCACTAGTTCTCCTGGTGTTTCCTGAACATTATCATGTGAATAAACCAGATATAAATGTGCTGCATATTTCTTGAAGCTCCCTCCAATTTGAAGTCATAAGTTCCATTACAAAGCTAGTGTACATTAGTCATTCAATTGTATAACACAACTTAGATCTTCGAAGATATCATACGAGGTTATAGGTAGTGTTTGGATAACCGAAAAAATGGTTAAACATGTTGGGCCGGACACAATCGAATTGGGTTCCACTTATTCCATGCCTTGGAAGCAAAAATGGTACTAGGAAATCGTGTTTGGGTCTATAAAAATATAAATTTGTTTGCTACATCTTTTCTCCAACATAGTACAACCATTTGTGTTGGATTAGGTTGGATTAAAAACACCAAACATATCCCATCCCAGCCAGCCATCCAAACATCTCCATAAGCTCTAGACGGTTCTTCACCTAGCAGCTTAAGCTTCTGAGTTCCGAGTCCTTCAACTAGCTTGAAATATAAATGAGTTCCCATGCCTGGAAGATCAAATTAACAAGTCCGTTTCGGATACAAGTGACCGTATGTAAGGGGATGAAAAGTCTCAGGTTCAAGCTCAATCTAGTATATGATGTTACCTGACATGTTTTGTAGTACTCAGCATAATCAACTCTTGCAAGCTCCAATATCTTATACTTCCTGCTAGTAACTTCAGCTGTGGAAATAAGCAGCAGTAAAAATCTGAATACCACAGGAAACGTACTATTGTAAAGTAGAGAGTTCGGACATGTAACGATGGCAAGCTCACATTGGTTCAAGCAATGCAATACGGGTTCGAGTCCAAAATTGATATCTCTGCAAAATGGGGGAGAAGACTTCCTACAAGGCTACCACTTACCTCTTCCAAATCCCATTAGCGAAGGATAGTATTACAAAAAGATTTCATTGCCAAGGGATGTCCGTTAGATTTTTCATATGCAAATTATCTGCCCACTCGTTCAAATATAGGATGCAAAAATTTGGAAAAAAAGAAAAGCAGTTTGACAAAATCCTGCATGCAACTACTTTTTTCCTCTTCTTTTTCACTACTTTCATTTGTTCCTTTGATTTTATCTACAATAGCATTTATCCCAATTTCCAAGCAAGTAACAACAAGAAACACTATGCTGTCTTCAGAATTTTTTTATTTTTTTGGGGGAGTATTAAATAAAGAAAGACGGATAAAGTACTGCATTTGATATGAAAAATTAAACAGAAATACAGTGCACCAGTCATTGTGGGTCCTTGAGAGGGTAAAAAATACTCAATCTTACTCTTGTTTGCAAAGAGATTATTTTAATGACTCAAATTCTTGTGACACTCATGTCATAATGTAGCACACAATTGTCCAAGCCTGTAAAATAAAACAGAAGGACAAAATTGAATGAGTTTGTAGGCAAGGATTTTTTTTATATACATGAGCTAATATATCGCATATTCATATATGTATCTCATTATCATGCATTCTGTTTCAACAAGCTTATCAATAAGAATAGATGTAGAATAGCCAAACTACATAAAGAAAATATGGAAACAAGGGAGTGGCTGATAAAATATGGACAATAACGACTGCGTAAGATAAAATTTTCAGCCTCGTCATCTAGGATATCAGAGACTTCAACTGTCAGAAGACTAGAACTATAGATTGCATGGATAGGGTTAGGATCACTCTCAAAGAACCCTAAAGTTGACACGGAGAGCTACTGAAAGACAAAACAGAAAGTGATATTGGCGCGGCTCAATCTGAGATCGCCTTTTAAGACTAAAATGCCATAAATCCGTCTTCGGATTGAACCTCACCAACATCGCTTTCTTTTCCACCATGAATGCAACCAGAAAACCATTATCTTTTTGCTTCCAAATTGTGGGCTTGGTACAACGTAAAAGCCGAAAAAAATGGAAGAATATTGAATAATTAATTGAAATATGGTCTCCTGACCAAAAAAAAAAAAATAGAAACATGGTCCCATGTTGCACCACCATGAGAATATTATGAGCATATTAATGAGGTATCTCTAGTGGGGACGTGGACACTAGCTTGGTGGAATGAGAGATGTAGATGATGGTTTTGTTGGTGGTTGGGGTGGTAATTTTAGAGTGGGATCTCAAAATCATGGTTTTTATTCCATGAGTTATGCAAATATCAAGGTTGTTTTGGTCAATTTAAACTAGTTTTGTTAATTAAAATATGGGAATGCACAAATGTAAAATTACTAAAGAATAAAGCCTAAAAGATTAAAACTTATTTTTATTGACCAGTGATTTTTGTGACTCAATCAGATGAAGTTACGACTCAAATAGGTCATCACTTGCAAGTTGCATTCATCTCAACTTTTTAGAGTTGTAACTTGATTCTAATTGAATCATCGGATTGAATCCTTACGGACTTTTGTAAATTGTGACTTAATCACGATTAACTTTTAACCAACACTAATTGAGTCTTTGTTACCTGGACTACGGTACTGAACTGAATACCATAGCCTTTCCCAACACTAATTGAGTCTTTGTTACCTGGACTACGGTACTGAACTGAATACCATAGCCTTTCCCAACACTAATTGAGTCTTTGTTACCTGGACTACGGTACTGAACTGAATACCATAGCCTTTCCCCTATTCCAGGATCCAAATGGGGGGTGGCATAGGGAGATAGAACCCTAAAGCACTCTAAAAGAGAAACTGAAAAAAAAAAGTGTAGAAACAGAAGTAGCAGCAGAGAAGTGATCAAGTGTTAGTAGTGGATGTAGCATAGTTAATAGCAGCGGCAACAACTGAGTGTTATAACAGATCGTTATGAAACCCTATATGCATGACTACAAGAAATTGAAAGTACAACACCATGTCAACAGATAAGAAAGAAATAAGGAAGGGGAGAGAGAGAGAGAGAGAGAGAGAGAGAGAGAGAGGAGGTGGGAATGGAAGAGAATGTATAAGGGTGAGTAGGGTTTGCCTCGGGATGGGAAGGTGAGGGGAATGATGTTGAAGGGGAGCAAAACTTACTTTTAGGGTTTCTCATGCTGGTTTTGTACTCAAATGTATTCAACACTCCTCTCGCGCATGCCAAGTGAAATATTCTCCACCAAAAGACTCCCACGAACCCTTTTTTTCTTCCACCTAATTTATCGAAACTTGGTATTGCCCATATCAGCATACTGGGGTGGCAGTGGAGTGGTATCATATAGTATGTGGATTCTATTACTTCGATTTTCATATACAACTCGTCAATTATGTATAAGTTGACCCAACTTATCGTAGTAGATTTTCAATATTAGTAATGCTAGACTGATCAAATTTTGGGATTAAATTTGAAACTCAAATGACATGACAGTTGACTTTGATTTTTTTTATTGGTGTCATGTCATTTGAGTCTCAATAAAAATATCAAATAATCAACTGACAAGTCATTTGAGCTCCAAAATTTGGTCAGTGTAACATTACTCTTCTAATAGTGACTCTACTGTCACCTGGTCTTTAGGTCAACACATATAATTCGTGAATCAAAAATCTTATACAAGGCTCATAAACTACAATTCCAATTGATATCTATACTAGCACTAGATGAAAATATTCTAGTTTTAGTAGGAATTCACAATCTATGAATAAGAAAAAACAGATATTCTTTTCGCACAATATCAACTAATTATTTATGCTTGAAAAATTTTTAACCAATATATTTGTATAAATTGTGTTGTTTGAGTGTTTACGTCGAAAACTAATCGAAATTAAATCACAAAAATTAATTTCGTGCCCATCAATCATATTGTGTCAAGGTATGGGATTGAGTAAGGAAAGGGACAGATTTGAGACTACGGAGGTCCAAAATATTCATCCATGCATTCTAGTAGTATTTCAGACTCTACAAGTAGAATGAAACAAAGGAAGTCAGAGGAGAGAGAGAGAGAGAGAGAGAGATCTTGGGAACATGAGTGCAGAATGTCAGCAAAGTATTGTCTAGAAAGAACTTCCGGAAGGTATACGTACAAATTTGCCATCTCTCTTTCACACACAAAACACACTTTTTTGAAGCATAAGCATAAGCTTAAAAACCATAAGAGCGGGGACATCGGCGCCAAAAAAGCCCTGCCTTGGCCCTGCACTAGGGGACACTCATCTTGGGTTCCTACCCTTTTTTATTCACCCTTCTTTGATTGTTTTGGGAAAACTAAAAGACCCTTTCATTTCAAAAACTCATCTCTCTCTTTCTCTCTCTCGCGCACACATACACACATAAAAGTTTGCAGATGGGTTTGCTCTCTCATGATTTGGGGCGATAAGTTCGCATGCCACTAAATTTTAGTATTTTAATGGGTTTTTTTTTTTTTACAATTTTTGTAAGTATTTTTATTACTGTTATTGTAATTATTTTTATAACTTTTTTTTAATATCACAATAATAATAAAAATATTCACAAAAGTAATCCTGTCGATACCATAGACAACTCTTTTTTATTCTCCTTGTTTTTATTTCGTTTCATCACTAGATCCCAGGACTTTTGTCTATGTTAATAGTTTACAGCTAATGACTTTCTCTTCCAAACATAGGAGTGATAATCTGCTTCTTTCGTGGCTTTATATGTGCTTCATTTAAATTTCTGTCATATCGTTTTAGAATAAGAGTAATATTATTTGAATTTAATTTATTGGTTTAATTTACTAATCAAATACTAATTCATAATCAATAAATTGACAATGAGAATTAGTATTCTTTAGCCGTCGCTACCAATAAAATGATTGTTATGAATTATATCTACAAATTAGGTCCAATAATATTATTATTAGAATAATGATGTATATGCCAAATTTTCGTTTAAGAGTCTAAACCAAGTTTTTTCTGTATTTTGTCAAAGTTTTCTCATTTAATGATATCGATAACTAGGTGAGCGGATGTCACGATAAAAGAAAGAAGGAAAAAACGAAAATTGTTATAAAAATTTAGACTTATTTGAGTTAAAATACAATATGGAAAGCTATTTGGGTTCAAGTGCATTTTTTTAGATAATGACTAAAAAGCCATTAAGTTGAAGGGAAAATAGTGCACAACAGATTTTGATCCCAACCGTCCGTCATCTTCGGCTCCATTAAGGAAATAGGCAGAAAATCGGGAAGCATAGATCACGTCCCTTGGTCTTCAGCAAATTTAAAAATCGAAAATATTGCAAAGATTTGAAAGACCAGAATATTTGGAAAGTTATTTTTGGATTGCAATTTCAATTAGGTTACTTTTCACATTTCGAGTTCAAAATTTTTTAAAATTTTTTTGGTGAAACTGTTTGGTATATGTATTTGTTGTAGCTCTTTGTTGTCACTGGATAATACGATTGTCTGGTGTAATATTTTGGTTTAATATTACAGGTCGTTGGTTTATTTGTTTAGTGTCCTTATATGATGTACCTCGTTTGTGTAATTTATTGATTCACCCAATTTGGTCTGTATAATTGATATAATCATGCGGTGATACTGAATAATGTAACTCTTTGGTCTAACTAAACAACTGAATAATACAATGGATTGATTAGTCTAACAATTTTTAGAACACATGAATAACTACTTAGAGCATTATAGGGCAATTGTAACTAATTGATGTAACTGCATGGTAAAACTATCTTTAGAACATGAATAAATTGTTGGTGTATCATAAGACAATTATAACTAATTAGTGTCGTATAATTTTTTTCAAAACACATAAATAACTATTTGGTATATCATAAGACAATTCTAACTAATTGGTGTCTCATGATTGGTGTAACTGTTTAGTCTAACTATTTTCAGAACACATGAATAAATTATTGGTGTATCATAAGACAATTATAACTAGCTAGTGTCATATATAATCAGTGACTGTTTAGTGTAACTGTTTTCAGATCACATGAATAATTATTTGGTGTATCATATAGCAAGTATAAATGGCTAGTGTAACTGATTAGTGTACTTGTTTGTCGCCGTGTTGATATCAGACTATGACGAAGTAATTAATTGGCGTAACTCTTTACGTTTTCGACTTTTGACATTAATAGGACATTATGTAAGACTTATTGGTACACAATAGAGTTTACCATTACAATTACAACTATGAAAAGAGATACACCATAGGGTGTAGTTTTCTTAAATTATAAGCTCCACAATAATATGTCCAGATAGAATGACTAAAAAATAATACAACAATAATAAAAAAATAACATGATATTAATAAAAAAATAGTTAATAGAATTTTATTAATTTTAAAAAGTAATACAATCACATAGGCTCATTATAAGTGTTCTTATTATGACTCTCACTATCCACAATGCCCCAATTGAATTTGCCTAATAAGTTCCTCCCTTGAACTTATTCTAAATTTTTTGGGTCGGTCAGGTTGCCTTTTAGTTAATGGCGACAAAATCTCAACTTTGTCAACCGGGTAACAAATGTCTCACAATCATATTTGCATAAAAACCAACACTATTTCCTTCGTTCCTGAGTATGACAATAAAAAAATAAATGACTTTCTATCTTATAACATAACAGTTCCACCAAAGAGAATCAAACAATAATATTATTTAGATATTTATAAGCATATAATGCTGATCTATTTTTTTGTAGAACATAAAACGTACAGTTTCATCATCAAATGGTGTATAATTGAAACCAAAGAAAAAAGGGGCATAAAACATATTTCTAAAAAACAAGAGTTTCACCCATGATAATCCTTAAAAAACTGTTTTACCCATGATAATCCTAAAAAACCAGTTTCACCCATGATAATCCTAAAAAAAAAATAGTTGCTATGATTTTTGCAAAATGTAAAACATATAGTTTCATCCTACTATGGTGTACAATTGAAACCAAAGGAAAAAAATGGCAGGAAACATATTTCTAAAAAAATAGTTTCACCCATCACGACCAAAAAAAAAAAAAATACGAGTTACATCAATAAAATACATAGTGTGAAAATTCAAACAATATATTAACGTTAAAATTGAAATTGATTGGTTGGAAAAAATGGCCGTTAAAAAGAATTATTAAAAACTTACATGCGTTGTCGATGATGAAAATCAGATATTCGGAAGCAAACAAAAATAAACAAAGAAGATCAAATGATTTCTACTGCAAACTAGAGAAGAAAACTAAATGTAGAAAGTTGACGTTGAATGTTGGACGTTGATGGCTAGATGTCGAAAGCGAGACGTTGAAGATTTCTCATTGAATGAAGCAATTGAAGATTCTCATTGAATGAAGCAATTGAAGGTAGACTGAATACAAAAAATGCAGTTCAAAATTCAAAAAAAATGATAATATCCAATCAAATCTGCACATATTTGATTAGATACATAATTGCCAATTAATCATGCATAATTTGAGGAAGGGTAATTAGTTAAAATAATTTTAATTTCATTTGAATTTTGTACATAAACATAATATTTTATTAAAATTGTACTTAATAGAGTAAATAACTTATCCGTATATTATTTTTTTAAATAAGTCTAAAAAGTTATACCCATGCTCAAAAAATCCAAGAAAGAATAATACTCGGTAATCCAATAGCTCACGTTTACTTAAACAGAAAATTTTGATAAAAAAAAATTTAGTGAGAGTAGAAGTTGAGCAATTGACCGATTGAATATTCAACCACAATGACTTTTGATTAAGGGGAGTGGGGGTGGGACAAAAAGACACCCATTTTTCCCACACCGATGATTATTTAACATTAGTGGGCCATGCTGGCTTTATAGTTAGAATTCCTATTTTTATTTTTTTCAATGATCCAGAGTATTTGAATCATTTACATTAGAATTAAAATATTCTTAAAAGATAAATTTTTCATAAAGATGTTTTAAAAGATTGTCAAGATTCAAATTCAAAACG